CGACTTGGGAAGAACTGTGCCGGTCGAAATTTTGCCAGAGCCGAGCATAGAAGCTCAGGAAACAATGGATATCGACGAACAAAGGCAACCAGAAGAAAACTGGATGAGCCCTTTGATCAAGTATTTAAAGGTTGGGATCCTGCCAAATGAAAGGATAGGAGGCCAACATCTACAACGACGAGCAGCAAGATATATGCTTAAAGATGAAAGTCTCTACAAAAGAGGCTACTTGTTGCCACTCTTAAAATGCTTAACACCCGATGAAGCTTACTATGTCATGAGAGAAATACATGAGGGTATTTGTGGGAACCATTCCAGAGCGCGATCCCTAATCCACAAAATAGTTCGACAAGGATATTATTGGACGACCATGCTAAATGCACGACGCAATTCACCAGAAAATGTGATAAATGCCAGCGGTTCGCAACAATACCTAGGCAACCACCGGAGCTTTTAACAAGCATAATGAGTCATTGGCCGTTTGCCCAATGGGGAATAGACCTTATAGGACCACCCCGGCTAGAAAAGGGTCAGACCAAATTTGCAGTGGTGGCAGTCGACTATTTCACTTAGTAGGCCGAAGCCAAAGCCCTAGCTACAATTACTGAGAAAAAGATCACCAACTTTATCTGGAAAAATATAATTTGCCGCTTTGGAATACCCTGCACCATTATCAGTGATAATGGGAAGCAGTTTGACAATGCTGCCTTTAGAGAATTTTATAAGGAGCTGGGCATTATGCACATCTGTTCTTTGCCAGCGCACCCACAAGTTAATGGACAGGTTGAGGCGGTCAACAAAATCATCAAAAGAACTCTAAAAACCAGATTAGATAAACTCAAAGGATTATGGGTAGAAGAATTACCCAATGCATTATGGGCCTACAGAACAACACCCTGTACGTCGACAGGAGAGACACTATTCTCACTATCATTTGGTTCCGAGGTAGTAGTGCCGGTGGAAATTGGTCTCTCTTCCCCAAGGGTGGAGCAGTTCAGTCTACTTGACAACAATGAATCCTTGCAGCTCAACCTCAACCTGTTAGAGGAACATCGAGAAACAACACGACTACGAACGGCTGAGTACAAGAATCGGATAGCTCGATACTACAATTCGAAGGTTAAGAAACACGACTTTAAAGAAGGTGATCTAGTTTTAAGAAAGACCATGCCAAATTCCAAAGATTTAACTAGTGGGGCATTCAGACCAACATGGGAAGGCCCATACAAAGTCACTAAAGTAGTTCGAACAGGCACCTATGCCCTGGAAGACCAACACGGGAAAGCCTTACCACACCTATGGAATGCTCAGCACCTCAAAAGATACTACCACTAGTTCGACACATTTATTTTACGCTTTGAGCCCCCTTTTATCTTAGTTATTTTATTGTAACTAATTCTCCGACAAGACGATTTTCTTACTAATAGTCCTCGACATTTGGCATAAGTACTTGAGTTTTTATGTTCGTTCTGAAATAAATTTCTTAAGCAGGAGGCATTGTGTGTAAATATCTACGACCAGTCAAGAAACTCAAGATTGGGACAGACTAGAAGCAAGCCAAACACGCAAAAGGCCCATAACGGCTCAGCATGGTCAAAACTAAAGCAGGGAAGTACTGGATAAATATATATATATATATAAGCGCCAAGCGAGTTGAAATCCGACAATACCGATACTAGCCCTGCTAAAGTTAGATCTCAGAGCCAAAGGAGGCTCGGAAGACTTGATTGTGACCAACAAAAATTGGAAAAACTTCCAATTCATGAAATAATATCGACAAACTCAAGGTACAAACCAATATCAATAACCAAGCATTGTAAATCCAAAACTGTATACAAAAGCCTTTGGTAAACGCTTTGTGGATTAGAAGTCTTGGCATAATTAACCAATATGAATTATGTTATGAAATGATATCGTGGTAGCAACAAGCGACAGATACCTTTAAAACAAAAACTTGACACAGTCATTCGTCTTCTGTTTTGAGGGTGGGGGCAACAGGGAACAAAACGGTCCAAACGAGGCAAGAGGTCGGACCGTTAAAGAAGAAATGTGCCCAAGATCATTAACCTCAGCAGACCCAGCACCCCGACACGGATCTAGCGCCTCGATGCCGAGCAGTTCTTGGCCCCCGACCGAGAACTATAACGGCCCATCCGACCGTTTTGCAGTACTCCCGTTTTGCAATTACGACCGTTTTGCAGTTACGCTTGTAACGGGTCTGAAGATTGAGATTCGATTAGAATTCCTATGAGACTGCTATAAGAGGGAGATGGACCGAACCCTAAAGGTATGCTCTGAGAACCCGACATCTATACTCTACTTCTCCAATTATTCTGAGTTAGGCATCGGAGCCCGTGTGACAGAAGTCACACTGGTTTAGATTTTGATTTGTTCGGTTTTGCAGGTGTTTGATTCCTGATCATCAAGTTTGTTGCGTATTGGAGATAAGAACCGGAATTCTCGAAGTCCATGCATCAACAGAAGGAGAGGGAAACTACGCCATTATCCATTCTTTGATCTATTAAGAGTATAAAATTACATATAAAGTTAAAAGTTTAATTTTTAAGGTTTTCTTACTATTTTACCACTTCCCCTCCTCAAATTTTCAAAATTAAAATATTATATATATGGAAAGTTATAATGTAAAGTTTTATTTCTCCCCTGAAAATTCCTAATTCTGCCCCTATAGTTTACTATAGCAGTAGCACAGAAAATATATCCGCTATTATATGTTTTTTTTTTCATTAGTAAATAACAAAGGGCTTGAGATACCTAGCTTAGCTATGTTTTATCCCAACGTTAAGAAGAAAATAAAATAAAATAAAAACAAAACAAAACAAAAATAAAAATAAAAGTGGGGCCCACGAGTGCATGGCCATGTTCGGACCATCATTCGACATCATGGTCATACTCATGCCACATAATATGACCGTTTGAGCATCATGAAGTTTCCGTATTATTAACTGATTAATCGGAACTTTCCAAATTAACTTTTTGTGTAAATATCCTAATTTTAGTTTTTATTCATTTTGGTCCCGAATTTTAATTTAGGAGAAAATACTTCCTCATTTTCACTGAATATTTGACAACTAAGAGAGAAAAATGAAAAAATATAAACTTTTTTTAAATAATAATGAATTGTCAAATATTTAGAGATGAGATTCCTCTTTTATCACTATTTATGAGGCAAGTATTTTCTTTTAATTTACGTACTTTTAAAAAGGGATCATTTTTATTTCTATTTGGATTGTAATTTTAATATAACACTTCACTCGTTAAATTTCTTGAAATGTTGTCATAAGTTTGTATTAAACTCTTCTGTTGTGTATAAAATTTTGGTTAAAATTTTGTAAATAAAGATTAAATTAGTAACTTTTTAAAATTACAGAGATCAAATTCAACCATGACTAAAATGAATCGAAATCAAAATTTCGTAACAAAAATAGCATTCAAGAGATAAGGTCGTGAATATTATATTTACAAAAACTCGAAAGTAATCAAATTATTAAAATCAAAGAACCATCCTGATTATAAATAATTGGTGAAACATATGGAGAGTTAATAACATATAAATATAAGTAGTTATTTTATTCTTCTCTAACATTCCGTTCTGTTTCCGTATGGGCAATCTTATAATTAATATATTTGTACTTTTTACATTACACATGAGGCCCTGACAAAGAACAATAAAATAAATAATGATAAACTGAAAGTTTAATTAGATTTTTCTTGTATTTTAAATGAATAAAACAACCCATAGTGTTAATTTTGACCCAAAATAAATTATATGATCTTGGTAACTTCTCTTATTCACTCAACAAATGGCTATGTGTTGGGGGGAAATAAAAACAAAATAAAACATAGCTTTATCTGTTAGTTTGTGGAGCCACTTTTATGAAATTTATTGTTGGCAAAACAAAATCCTAAATGAAAAGGGCAAAATTGGTATAAATGAATTGAAAGTTATATTAGAGTTATTTCTCTGAATTTTTAGAGTTATTATTGTTGCTACAATTAACATAGGTATATTAGGTCTCCCAAAATGAACTTTATATAAAAGTTATATTGCATCTTCATCTGTCTGGGTAACCAAAACCAGACATAATTGGGCCAAGTGGTTGGGAGACACGTGGGGAATTCACAAGTCGAAAAAGTTGCTTTAAAATATTTTATTTTTTCTGTCTTTTTCTAAAAATTCCATAAATTTATTTAATAAAAGTTAGTCTACTTTTAAGAAACCGATTTTTTTTTCTTACTTACTTTTCCTAAATGGTACTATTTCTCTTTGTATAAAATTTTTCCCTTGCAATTTCATTAAATAAATTTAGTTTGTCCACTCTTATTTATCCAATTAGGTGTCACGCATCACTTATTAGTTTAATAATTAATAGATAATCATCAACACAATATTAAATAATCAGAACTTAATTACAATAAAAATCATAGGTTCGAGAACTCAATTGAAGTTTATGAATTAAATTAACACCGGTGTATCAAAATTCCTGAACTAAATATACTTGTTTCTATATTCTTTTTTTTCCTCTAACTTTTGATATAGAGCCTTTAGTCTTTTATCTTTTCAGTTCTCAAATCTCTCTCTTAACGTCTCGTTTTACACACAACTTTTCAATTAATCTCTCTACACATAAAGTCATAAAGTTTGCCAAAATATTGGTGTTTATTATTAGAGAGATTATTTTTATTTCCACCGGAAAGAAAAAACAAAAAAAAATAAAATAAAAAAGGAATTTGTGAAACGGACTAATTTTTGTTACTCTCTCTCTCACTCTTCCGCGGGAGAAAACGGTCCTTTCCAATCTCTTTCTCGGCCCCTCTCCAAAAATTTCCCAAAAACAACAAAAAAAGAAACATATTTTACGAAAATGCCACTGCCGTAGTAGTAGCCCAATCACCAAAAAATGACCGTTATAAAATTTCTTCCCTTTATTTATTTATAAATACACACAATTTACAATTTACAACATTCTCATGTTCCTCACTCTCTCTCTCTCTCTCTCTCAAATGGCATCCTTCATCAGATTCTTGTTGTTGTTGTTGTTGATTTCCATCTCCGCCGCCGAGCGCCGCCGGCACAAGTGGGTCGGACCCAGCGGCCACAGCGTGATAGAAGTTGACGTGAATGGCTCCGGCGAATTCCTGTCGGTTCAGGCCGCCGTGGATGCAGTCCCCGATTACAACACCGTCAACACCCTCATCAGAATCAGCCCTGGATATTACGTGTAATTAAATTACTCTTTTATCCCTCTCGTCTAATTATTCATTTTCATTATATATATCATTACCACCATCGCCATGCATCATTTTTTTCTTTTGCTTTACGAATAAATCACCTTCTTCTTTTTTCTCTCTAATGGGAAACTTTACCCAAACGCCTTCCAAAAAATAAAAATCTCAATTGGGCATCTTAATTGTTTTTTAACATATCAGGCTTGTGTTTGACGTAATTATTTTGCTATTTTTGCTTCTACATTTATGCTGCGTTCATTTGGCTACTGCTCTCTTTTTTTTTTTTTTCCTTCTTCTTCGTGCAATCTTGAGTTATCAATTTTTTAAAGAGCGCCTAAATTTTATCCTAAAAATTCGTTCCATCAGAAAGTTGGTGGAGCCAAAACGAACATAGAGTAGTATGTGAAATTACTGGTAAACTAAAAAAATCAAGGGGATAGATTTGAGTAAATTTAAGGGAAAAGTGGGTTTACATATTGGTTTGGAATATGATTTTGTAGAGAGAAGGTGGTGGTGCCGGCGACGAAGCCGTACATAACGTTCCAAGGAGGGGGAAGGGAGGTGACGGTGATAGAATGGCACGACCGCGCAGGTGACCGTGGTCCCAGCGGCCAGCAGCTGCGTACTTACAGAACCGCTTCGGTCACAGTTTTCGCCAATTACTTCTCTGCCCGAAACATCACCTTCAAGGTACCACTTCATTTCCTCCACGTCAACTCCCTCCAATCCACCTCTAACATTCTTCCTAAATTATTTTTTGTTTTTTCCTACCTTTTCTAAAAAAGAAAAAATAATTCAATAATATGAGGAGATGGAGCTATTCCAATAAAAGTAAATTACATGCTCCTGATCTTTTACCTCGAGTTAATATATTCAAAATTCTCAATTTATACTTTTATTATTAGAAAAAAAAATCGCCATCAAGAGAGGGGAGAGTCGTCGGCAGGATTTGAACCTACAACAATCAGGTTTTTGAGACTCACGTTCTACCAAACTGAACTAAGAGCACTTTCTTATTAAAGTAGATCCGACTACAAATAAAAGGATTCTTTTTTACCCATGTGAAAGAGCTTGAACAATGAAAGATTTTGCATGTCTAATTTGAATCGATCTCAATGGATACCTCGTTACTGCCTCGAGGAGAAGTAATAGGTAGGAATGACAGATTGTGACAGCTTTTATAGGATACGTACTACCTTGGGATCAGATAAGCTTCTGGAGAGCAACAATGATTACAAACTTAGCTAGCGAATTCAATCAAAAAGCAATTGATTTGGATATATTAGACAAATGATTAACTCCGTCTGTAAACTTTTTACATGTAAGTTCAAAAGATTCTGAAAATTGGTATGAAATTTGTTAAAAATGCAATTGAGCTCCGACTTGAAGAAGCGAGCCCAACACAGAGAAAACCATTGCGCGCTAGCCTAACTAGCTAGCGTTTTTCAGTTGGTTGTTCTCGCGCCAGTCGCGTAGGACGATCGGACTAGGCCGAACAAAATATCTCAACGTAAACTTTATTTTTTAGAGATCAGATATTCAATCTCCTAAATCTCCAATTGTTGTCTATAAAAAGGTTTTTACACGATTATATAGATAATTTTGTGACTTGTTGTCACTGCCAATTTTATAAATTTTTTTAAAGGCAAAAAGAAGCCAAAGGCCTAGGACAAAAAGTCCATTTTTTAGTGAGGAAAAAAAGACAACAACTTAAAAAAAAGAGAGATGATATTTAGAAGCAGAAAATGAAAAAACATTGAGAACCCCACAAACAAAAAACAAGCTCAGAATATGAAAAGCTTTTGTCGTGTTGTCTGCTAGCCTTATATAGTTGTTGTTCACGTGACGGCAGAATACGGCACCGGCGCCGATGCCCGGAATGCAAGGGTGGCAAGCGGCGGCGTTCCGGATTTCCGGCGACAAGGCCTACTTTTCCGGCTGCGGTTTCTACGGAGCTCAAGATACCCTATGCGACGACGCCGGCCGCCACTACTTCAAAGAATGCTACATCCAAGGATCCATAGACTTCATTTTCGGAAACGGCCGTTCCATGTACAAGGTAATCCTAATCCCTTAATCATTCTTTTTAAATTGGAGATTAAATCCAAGACGGCGGCGTTTGGCGTTGTAGGATTGCGAGCTGCACTCCATAGCCACCCGGTTCGGTTCCATAGCGGCCCAAGATAGAAACTCGCCGGACGAGAAGACCGGGTTCGCTTTTGTTCGGTGCAAGGTGACCGGTTCTGGGCCTGTGTACGTGGGGCGAGCCATGGGCCAGTACTCTAGAATCGTGTACGCGTATACTTACTTTGATGACGTGGTGGCCCACGGTGGATGGGATGACTGGGACCACGTCAGCAACAAAAACAAGTAAAAATCCTGGTCATTTGCATACAAAATATATATATATATGTATTATTTATTTTTTTTGTTGTTTTATGAGATTAAGATATGAATTGTGAGTGGTGCAGGACAGTATTTTTTGGAGTATACAACTGCTGGGGCCCAGGAGCGAGTAAAGTGAAGGGAGTATCATGGGCCAGGGAGTTGGAGTTTGAGGAGGCCCATCCTTTTCTTGTGAAGAGCTTTGTCAATGGCAGGCACTGGATTGCACCTTCTGATGCTTAGTTCTTCATCTTCTACTTCTGCAACACTGAAACACAATACATATTTATTACATTTATTCACCTTCTACTCCCAAAGTCATTCTTTTGTAATACCGCCACGTGTAATTTAATTTTTTGTTTACTGTTTCCAGTCGACCATTGGTCTAAATCTCTAACTCTTATAAATACGCCTAAAGCATTTTTTTATTCCAACCGCCAACCTTTTAGTCGAATAAGAAAAGCAATTTGTTTAAACATAAAACTACAACGAAATTGTCAATAAAAAAATAGGGAAGGAGAGAGAAATAAAAAAAATAAAAAGCGAGAAGGGGAGTAGAGAACAGATTTCAATTTTTGTTTTTAAATGTCACAATAATAATGATGATGATATATAATTTTCTTTCAAACATCAACGTTTAAAATGACTTTTAGTTGTTTTTTCCTTCCAAAGTATCATTGTTGACTAAATTTCGTCAAAACGAACATAGTTCAATAGTAATTGACATATATCTCTAATGTTGTGAAATCAATCCTTCCACCCCTACATATTGTACTAAAAAACCACACATTGTACCATACAATTAGTTATAGATCCCCTCAAGAGAGCATCACAAGGGGAGACAGCATTTATTGAAGAAATAACCATCACTCTCTTGAGATAATCAATAAAAAACTCTCATTCAATTTCATCTCCATTTCATTTTTGCAAAATCTCAACTGACAAACAGCTTATCAGCTCAACTGCCTGTTAAAAACAAACAGACAAACTTGCAGTACGTGCAGCAAATGAGAGACAGACTGAAGTTTACAATATGAATATGAAACTCCTGATACCAAAACGCCTTTCCAAATAACATAGAGCATCACAATACATGTAGAGCATCAAAGCACCTAATCCCGGCAACCCCATTCCTATAGAGGAAAATGAATAATATGTCAGATTGAACGTGTGCTGCGATGAACAACGCTACATGACAACAGTATGATGCCAATATTATCAACCCCGAGCATGGTCTAGCATATAAGTAGCACCACATTACCATAATTTTCCTCCTGCTCCGTTGTCGTGTAATAACAACCTATAACTTTGGACAACAACCAGGATGCGATGGGACATCAAGCTCATGTTTGCCTAACCAGTGATGAGGTGGTTAACCATAAGGGCCAGCCTAAAATGGCGCTTTCGTGTTTTGAGAGGTATGCATCGTTTAAACTGCCAAATTTATGATTTGATGTTAATTCAAGTTCAAAAAATGACAGACTTGTAAATTCCCAATGGTGCATCTTTAGAAGGACAAAAGATAAAGAAACTTACTACTCAACATCTGGTGTATCCAGGGTTTCATTCCATTCCTCCCCATGTTCCACTGCAGGGACAGCACCAGCTACAGCTGCTAAATCTTGTACACCATCAACCTGAGAGAAAATAGTTCGAATAAATTGTTCCAAGATCAGAGAAGGCAACAAATCTTCTGAAACGATTAACCTTTTTTCTATAATTATATTGCTCCACGTTCCCACTAATTTTATTCTCTGATTCTAAGCCTTAGCATCCTGAAACAACAATTAGAATTCACCCAATATGCTCCCATTGGAAAATGGCTGCAAACAAATAGAAAATAACAATCACTCTGCCCATTATCTACCACAAGAGCGTACATTAACTCTTGTACAGAGATATCTAAAGAGAATAAAACTTGCCTGTTGAGGATACGAGGCATAACCCGAATATGCACCATAAGCATATAAAGATGGATCTTGTACGACTCCATATCCATAAGCATCATAACCTCCTCCATAGCCATAGTAAGCACTCCACTGGTTCGGATCAACTTGCTGACCCCAAGTAGTCAATTCCTAAAAGTTCATCGCCATTTCATAAAGTCTATTCAATACAGTAAACTCTGGTTAACTATGAAGAGCATTACACAGGTAATTTGAGAGCTTAATATCAGAAAGATAAACGTGCAATTACCAATTCTACCAAGGAGTACAACACATGGAAATTTAAAATCCTTTTCTTCTTTTTTACTTTTTTGGAAAAAAAAATCCATTTCGCCACTGTAGAATATTCGATGTTATAGATTAGGTAAATGTCATAAGGAATAATTTTGTAAATGTTTTTGTCTGGCACGGTTTCTTAGATTGCGTCTACTATAGTTTTCTGGGGACATACCTTGTCCTTAGACCATTTCTATAGAGTCCTATTTTCATACTAGGCACTAGGGTATCCTGGGTCCGTGCTAGGGATTGTAGGGCCATGATGGAGGATGTGCTTTTATAACCCCATTTTTGTTACAGGGGTTGCTTTTTATGGTAGACTGACTTTCTAGCTATGTTATAGGGTATTTGGCTGGAAAGAAATCATAGATTGTTTAGGGGTGGACCGGTGGAGAAATCTGTGGACTATGTTTGGGACATCGTTAGATTTAACACTTCTTTATCGGGCTCGGTTTCTAAACCCTTTTGTAATTATTCTCTAGGCCTTATTCTTTTGGATTGGAGTCCTTTTCTATTGGGGACCTCCTCTTTCAGGGCTTTTTTTTTTATGCCCTTTTGTAGGCTTTTTTGTAGCTCTGGTATCTTTTTTCATTATTCTCAATGAAATTTTTTTTTCTCATAAAAAAAAAAAAAAAATCTAATTTTCACAAAACAATGCCAAAAAAAATGAAAAAGAACATTATTTACTATGATGACCAATAATAAGCCTTTCTTTTCCCTAATGATGAAATCCCAACTTCACAGGCTATATAAAAAACAATATCGCTAAAGTTTACTACACAAACTCATTATACAATCAAGGTTTCATAAAGTCTAACCGAGGCATTTAATTATAAACAACATGATTACACATCACATCCACAAATGGAAAATGTTCTTTTCAGTAAATCAAGTAAAATATTTGTTCTGGACTGCAATAGAAGGTCAATTACCTGCTTGGCAGCTGGATTTCTACCCCAAGAAGTACGAACCACTTGTTGACCGATGATCTTTCCTTGCATCTTTTGAATAGCTTCTTCAGCCGATGTCCTGCACAGACACGATCAGGAGAACATATTTAATCCAAGTCCAATTGTTCATAATGAACTAAAAAGTAGAAAAAATATCTTTGATAAATGTAAATACACAAGATTTTCCATTCTCCCACAAGATTTTTTTTCTCACACTTCCTTTCCATCTTATTCACAGCAATAAAATTAACCTACATGCTAAAACATACCTCGTCCCAAACTGAACAAAACCACAGCCTTTCCCTGCAGGAATTTTCACATAAACAATCTCCCCAAACTGCAGAAAAGTTTGCTTCAACTCCTCCTCTGTAATATTAGGATCCAAGTTACCAACAAAGATCTGCATAAAGAACAATGTAGTGAGAGATAAGCATAGCAACCAGAAAGAGTAATGCTATCACTTACAGTTGTGTTATTCGAATCGTAATCTGCCGGAAGCGTGGGAACTGGTGTAGTATAGGCTGGAACTGGGTACATTGCTGGGACAAGAGGCACACAATAAGTACGAGTTTAAACATAGTAAATAACAGTCTCCTCATAAGATTTTACTATACCCTTTTTTTTAGATAAGAGACTTCTGTATGTTAAACATCAAAGCAAAAGGAGACAACCTAAGGGGTGTGGTAGAGGGAACCCGTCCTTAAGGGGTGTGGTAGAGGGAACCCTACCCAAGGACTAAATCAGCGCTTTCAGTTGCTCATAACCAGGGAAAGGTTGTAATGATAGTAGCAATAAATCCTATTTCATTCATAATTGGACAGATACCATCTCCCATCAAGGCTTGTGGAAAATATTTTTTACATTGAATAACTTTTTTAATCCATATAATATATAATTAAATGAAGAAAAGAAAAGGCAATACTGCATATTCATTACCTTTACCTAAAGTATTATATTGCTGCTGAACACCAATGGTCTTTTTGGGTGTTGCTGCACTAATACGCATAGGTCTAGTTGAGCAATAGACACCATTCATTTCTGTCATAGCCCGATTCCTTTCATTTTCATCAGCAAATTTAACAAACCCATATCCCTTTGAACGCCCTGTGTTTGGATCAGTCACAACTTTAGCGCCCCTGACAGATGGATATTGAGCTCTAAAGGTCTCTTGCAACAGATAATCTGTAACATCAGGAGCCAAATCCCCAACAAAAATTGAGTGTTCAGGGCCAGCATCAGGACGCCTTTCTCCAATTCCAAAAGAGGCCCAATTCAACCTGAAAGTTTGCTCAGTTCCAGGCATCTGAGTCCCATTGTAAGTCTGCAAAATTCTCTCTGCTGCTGCATGAGATACAAACTCCACAAACCCATAGCCCTCAGGCTGGCCAGTGATCTTATTGCGAATAATTTTAATTGATACTACCTGTAGAAAAAAATAGCATAGTCAACAAAAAAAAAAAAAAACAGAACAATCTCTCTTTCTAAATGCGTCTTAAGAGTTATTAGCTCTTACTAAAATACAATAACACAAATAACAACTACCAGACACCAGGAATATATTTGAATGGGCCGTTATAATATAACAATTACTCGACAATAACCACAATTATACATTGGCGTTTCCACTACCACGGCTCTCAAGCATTGAACTCATCCCTATTCAGTGGTATGAAAGGCCATATGAGAGGCCCTCCCTATTATCCAGCTTTCGTAGCATAGAGCAAATACAAACACATTTATAAAATCCACTTCCGAAACCCCGAAGAAATTTCAGAACCGGATAATAAATATTTTGCACTACATCAGCGAAAAGTAGAAAACCTCTAAAATCCACTTACGCAACTCTCGGTAACAGATAAAAAAATGCTATCAGCTTGAAAAACTGACGAATTCAAATGGGTATATTTTTAGAACATTATCCTGTAACCCAAAGTGCATTCAAATTTAAGAAATTCCAATTGCCAACAACGAGAAGGGGAAAAGAAACGAACGAACGAACCTCGCCAGTGTGAGCGAAGCAAGAACTGAGATAAGATTCATCGACCCAGTACTGCAAATCCCCTATCCAAAGTGTACGAACTTCCTCGACCGTAGTTGGTTGATGGTGCGCTGGTTGGCCTGCCAGAGTCGTCATCTTATCTATTGACGCATTGTCTTCTATTTTCGTTCAACCTGCTTCGGGTAATTGTCTCGCCGACGTTCTCGTAAACTTTGTGAGATTGTTCCTCAACTGTGTATGATGCTCCGACTTCCCCGTCTCTACAAATTAATCAGCGATTCCAGAGATTTTGGCGCAAAACTTCGGTGATAACTGAAGGCTTCGTAAATTACAATAGAAGAACAAAGAAAAAAAAAAACGAAGTGGAGATTTGAAGAAACCTTCAAATTCTGCGGGGTCTTGGGACTTGCCACTGCTAGGGTTTCCTTCGTCGCGGACCTTCGATGGGGCTCCAAAGTCCGGATTGTAGCATTTCTTTTTTTATTTTTTCTTCTGAGTTTTTTACTTTTATTTTTATTTTTTGACAGACTTTCTTAGTTTCTTCTGAGTTTTAATCCAGGAATTGTATACTTTTCTTATAAGTTTAATTATAAATTTAATCCGTAAATTTAATACTATTTCATTATTTGAACGTTAAAAAAATTACTGGCATTCTTTCCTAGTAAAAAATTACTGATGGATTTAACTGTAAAAAGATTAAAAAATTAAAAARATGGTGAGAAAAATACTCGATACAGTAGTGATTAAGACATCTTGCAGGATCAAAATAGTATTGTCACGTCAAGAATAGAGGAGGGTCGGAAGGACCAGATTTTTCCTGAAGACTTGGGATAATGGTCGACCTTTGTACTTAGTCATAGAACCACACTAGTAAACTTCTATTTGGCGGAAGGTTTTATCTATCTCCAACCTTGTCAATTGACATGCTGATCGCCTTTAGCAACAAACTATGTGACAACCAAAATTGTTGGTCGAATACCTTGTCAGACATTTTACCTATGACTTCACTCCAGCATGAGATATTGAATTCTAGTTCAATCTTAATACTAAGGTCGAACTTATATTGACTGAAGCATCCAAGTTTTTGTTTCTCTTGTGCAGGTCTTCACTTGTCAAACGACACTCAAGTTCGTTTCCAATCGTCTTACTTTGACTAGTTTCTGCCTAGACCAAAAATCAACATAAACAAGGTATGATGTTCAATATCCACATCCTCATATTTATTGTATTAAAAAAAGTAGTGGAACTAATTTGCCAAATGTGGAAATTTTGAATTAGCATATTGAACTAATAGGCAAAATTTTTAGTTTTATTCARGAGGAGAAAGATAACATTTTTAATACTCTTGCCGTCACTATTCCTATATTTCACACTATAATTAAATTTTATTCGATAAATAATCTCTAAACATTTTTAGACTTTACATCCTTCTTAAATATTCATAATATTTTACTAACATAGTAAATAAATGAGAGAAATATGAGAGAATTGTAATACAACAAGTACTATGGTAAGTCAACTAAAAAATAAGGAAATGCAACCTTTAACTAAACCTAATGAATTAACGTAATACATGTTTGGACATGCAAGCTTTAACATCATACTGTTTTAATATGTCTCATTGATAAACAATTCGTCACATTTTATTTTTTTGTACACTTTACTCATATTAAAGTATCTATTAAATTTTCATCAAAGTAGTACAATAATAAACCAGATAAATTATAATTCAACAAATTTAATCARTTGGGACTCTTTTCTCATAGTGTGGAATAAAGGACTTATTTCCGATGAATACTTATATGGTAGGAGAAATGATGAATTTAGTTGGTATAATATAGAAAGTGGGAGAGTGGAGTGAGGGCGTAAAAGAGGGTAAAAGGAAACGACGTCGTGGCGTGTGGGGTTGATTTGTTGAAAAGAAGTAGACCGTATGAGAAAGGAGACACGATCTGGTGGGGAAAAAGTAGAGGGAAGCCAACCAATGAGAACAAATATTATTAAGGCCTTTTATTTCATTTTTATTCAAAATAAAACATTTAAAGATATTGTACAAACAATAATTCTACTGATGTTATAATATTTTAGATTGATTAAATATTTAGTTGATAAACAGTACTRGTTTATAAATATATTATTATACATGAACAAATTTTTAAATTGAGATTTAATTTCTAAATATACTACCAACCACTGATAACATAAAATGTAACACTGATAACCTAAAATGTAACTCTTATTTTTTTTTGAATTATTTGTTATTAGATCTCTGTTTAAAGATCACCAACTAAAAGAGGCAAACTTAAAATTAATGAGATAATATCTTGGGAGGGCTATTTTGAAATCTTTACACTTTTAGATATTTGCAGTTAGGATTTTATTTTAATACCGTTTCTACCCTTATTTATTGTTTTTTATTTTATTATAATTTTTAAATTTTAAAGATTTGAATCCTTAATTTGTAATTATATTCATTTAATTCTCGTGGGCTCCATTCAAAATTTCAACCTTAATTCCACAAATCTCTCCCTCAAAAAAGATTTTTTTCTCTCACCAATTAACAACTTCCAATTTTGTTAAATGAATTAAATGCTGCCGATTCTCTTTCCTCATTTGGTGTAGATTTTCTCCAGCCACCGTGCAAAGCCGATTTTCTTCACCGCTGTCTTCGTTTCCAAGGTGYAAAGACGTCTGCTGCCAGACCTTCATTTTCCATCTTCAGGGCTTTTATGAACAAGGTATTTATTTCTTTTGCACGTTTCTAACGCCGTTCATTCCCGTCGCCGTTCATTCCCGTCGATATCTTTGCAAGTTTCCAACGTCGTTCATTGTACACTAAATCAACGAGGTATTGATTTCTTCTTCCCCAAACACGTCCAAACCTTCAATTTCCGTCGTTGAAGTCTTTGGACGTTTCCGACGTCGTGCAGCGTGTTCCTCGTCTCCTGTCCCCTTATGTTTATACCATGGGTAATTAATAGTCTTCCGTTGAGATTGGTATATATGGGGATATATTTTATGTATGTGTACAGAAAATGGAAGTTCTAAACGTCTCACAGTGTTAGTATTCCTGATTATATTTGTATATATAGGTATATATTGTATATGTGTATACATATATCTTATAGTTCTGTAGAAGTGGTCCTCCAAAATTGAAATTTTAAACGTCTCATGAATGAAGGATTTGGAGATATTTTGGGAGGTTATGATTTCAATTTTGAGAATTTAGGGTTTTGTTTTTAATGTTTTGGTGTTTTAATTTGTTTTGGAAAGTATCATTAACCTAAAATTATGGGATCTAAATTATAACTTTCCAATTAATCAATTTTGCATATTAAAATGAATTTAAAATTAATTTGTAAATACAAGAGGCTATTTAAGTAATTTATATGATGGGTACCCTCTTAAATAGGGTTGATACATGACAAATGTGTAAATTCTATACTATCCATCCTTTTATCCTTTTATGTAATTAGGATCTTTAAATAGCCCATCAATGTACTAATCCCAAAATTACTAGCTTTCTAGCCTCTAGATCTACTAAACTTCTTGACATTTTCGATGACCAAATCACCATAATTTGTGTATTATCGAAAGAACAATACTTAAGTGTTTACTGGTCAGATCAGCCCAACGAATAAATTTTTTACAGCTTTTTAATTTCTTTACGCATCTTTTTTCTGCATTTCTCTCTCCTACTTGTAACAAAATTTTATGGTAACCAACAAATAAAAGTCATAGTAATGATCAGAAATTTATAGTAAGTAAATTGCAATTCAACTACTGAAAAGAGGAGTTAGTCAACAGCGCTACTATGACCAATTCAACCTGACAATTGACATAAATATGTGGCATGGATGTGACTAGGACGACAATAGTCCTTATAACATTCAACTATTAAATATTCTTCTACAGGACGTCGATATTACTATTGACATGTCTATGTTTAAATGAATCGATATCAATACATTTTTATTATTGTAAAAAAAATTGAAAAATATAAAAACATATAAATAAAATGCCGCTAATATATACATAATATTATTTATTTTTAACTTATTTAGAAATAGAAAAATATTATTTGTTAATTTAAATATTTTTTACGAATTCTTAATTTCTCTAACTTTTACAAATATATTCATAGACATCGACATTTTATCAATATTTTCATAAAATTGAGATCTCGATACGTGCAAACTAACCTGAATACTCACCGAGAAGTAAAATAAAATAAAATAGATCCGCTCACAAATACGAAAATAAAAGATAAATTATTATAATAATGCGTGTCACTCTAACAAATGACACAGCACACTCTAAGTAGTCCTCTCTCACCAACATTCCGGCACTCCATTTTGACTGTTACCATTATATTTATTTATAATGTCTTTTTTCCATTTTTAGCCGAGGGATTAAAAAATTCGATTTTGAATGTATTTTTCAGGTACCACTTTCGAAATTTTGCAATTCCTAACTATATTTTTCATCATTTTGTATATTTTTTTTCATTTTAAACTTATTTTATTAATAATAGTGTTTACTTATAACCTTATATTTTTATAACCGCTCTAATTATAAATAATAAAATATATTTAATGTAGTTGTAACATTTCTATGAATTTAAAGTACATAATAATTTAGTTAAATAAATCATTTTTATAATAAATAAAATAAATATTTTATTACTTGCATTAATACACTAGTACCAATAAATTACAAAAGTTTCAACGTTGGTACATGCAATGTAAATAAAGAAAAATTAAAAGTATAAATTCAACTCACTGTAACTGAATGACCCTTTAACTTACTAGAGTGAATATCAATGAAAAACGGCGGAAAGCTACCAAAACACAATGTTGGCAGACGTGGAGGAGGAGGAGTCATGGCAGACGGATCAACTATCTTCACGATTGGCTGAAAAGCTTGAATCCGGTGAGGCAAGCCGTAGAGAAACCCTTCACGTTGCTCTACCGGAACCTTGAACATTTGCTTCATCTTTGTGTATACTGCAGCAGTGAGCAAACTATCGGAACCGGCAAAATGTGCTATGCCTATTCGTTTTACGTCGAGCAGCTTAGCCAATTTTTTTAGTCCTAGGTCGCCGTCGAGCAATCCGTCACAATAGCGACACATATGCTTCAAATCGCTGACAGTACCTATCAAGTAAATATTAAATATTAAATTTATCGTAACACATCAAATTAAGCTTTTAAATTGATTGACGATTCATTAGTACCTAATAGATGTTGAGCAGTAGCCGCAAACGTTGCCATAGAAATTGGTATGTATTTGATTTTGAGCAGCTTCAGTAAATAAGCGATGTCGTAGAAGCCATGAAATGTAATCCATCTCTCGATTCTACCACTACGACAAATCGGTAGAAATAGGGTAGTGAAATCTTCTAGAGCTATTCCGTCTCTCTTCAATTTGTAGAAATCGAACCCCTTGTTCTTAAGAAACGAGTCCAGTGAAGAAACGCCTTCCATGTCACTAATGTGATCAAAATCTCTGAAATTAAACTCCCAAGTCATCGCTACATTTCCATTTTGATTTGCGAGTGTGAGACCGAGTTGGAGTATGTTCAATCGGTTCACATTAAATCGGAGACAATCGTAGAATTCTTCCTCCGAAACACCTTTCGGAGTGTACCGGAGAAATCCTGGTTCATCATCGAGCTTGCGAGCATAAAAATATTTTCCAGCTAAACTTAGAAAATAGATTCGATTATCCTTAAGCAACCCGATACCTGGAAACTCTGTATCAATGGCGACTATTGGAAACTCTGGAAGATACTCATTTAGTATCTCTAACTCTTTGTGTAGATTGTAAGACCAAACCTCTCGATTCTGGTGGACGGATCTTGGAGCTGTCGGAGACTTTCCGAATGTCTTTTCCATGCTTTCTGGTGAATTCTTCACTTTAAATGTATTTCGTTGGTTTGATATAGGATTTCGTTGTTCATTTTTCCCATAATTTTTCTTTATTTCTTCACTTGGAAATGACTTCTTATATGGTGCTTCTCTATGATATCCTGAGCAAAAAATTTCTACTATTACTTTTGCATGTTTGATTTTTGAAATGTTAGTTTGATTTTTTAAAATACAACGTGGTATAGTATTTTTTTTTCCTTTTGTAATTTGAATTTTAATCTCATCATGAAGATATAATTACTTGAATAAATTTTATATTTTCCAATAATGAGTTAAAAACAATATATTATATTTTTACTTTTTCATCTCAATCATCATGCAACTTAAGGTGTAGGAAATGGCAAATTTAAATACTACGTACTATGGAAATTTTTCATACTTTAAACATAATTTGCGTCTATTAAATAAAATAATATATTATTTAATAATGTGTCAAAATATGGATTGAACGAGTAGATACTAGATGTTAAGGACAAATTTTGTAGACATGTCTCCCATTTTTCAATACCTCGTTGTTTTCATATAAAAATATTAATAATATAATACTTTTTTAGTTTAGAATTAGAAATTTAATTTTATAATTAAAATTACTAATTATATATTTAAATTATTTTTAAATTTTTACGAATGAGAGAAATTTATCTTTCTTTAATATATATATCTCTATATAACGTTTGGACAATATTAAAAAGAATTATGTGTATTTAGGATTTCATTTTGAAATTGTATTGTCCTAAAATTTGAGTGAGAAACCTTCTCAGTTCTCTTATTTTTTTTGTTTTGTCTCTTTTTTTTATAATAAAAATATTTCAATTTTCTTAAAATGCACCATAAATATCTTTTTATTAAAATCTCCGGTTATGGAATATTGTTAATAATAAGGTATATATATTTTTATAAAATATTATTAAAATTAATAAATACTTGAAAGAAGCATTTTAAAACTAAAAGGAATGAAATTGTACTAAAAAGTCAATTATTTCAAAAAAAAAATAATAAATATGTTGACTTCCTTTTATAAAGAAAAGAAATTATCAAATTATTAATAGGGGAGTTTCTTTATTATTAATCGTTGAAATAGGGGACTCTCTTCAATCAAATTATTAATAAAAACAACAAATATTTTTTTATAAAAAAATTAATTATCTCAATTAAAAATAGGATAATTAAAATATATTTTATTTCATTTATTTGTTAATTATTAGTTCATTTCAGACAACATTATTAAAAATAACCCTAAAATTTTGTAGGTTAAGTTATATGGTTTAAAAATTATCATTTAACATAAAACTCATTCAAACATATAACCCTACAATTTTAACCCTATTTTTCTTTTTTAATGTTACTCATTTTAAAACTTATTTTTAAAATATTATAACTTTCATACTTATTTAAAAATTCTTGCGATTAAAATTAGGACCTATAAGTTAAAAAGATGGACATATAGTCACTCCAACATAGCTAATGAAGGTAACCTACTTTCGGTAGACACAAAACTAACGAGTTCAGTCAAACAGCCTAACAAGTTCAGTCAAACAACCTAACAAGTCTAAGGTTATAAAAGCATTCACCAATGTAACTTTGATAGGTATAACATTGCAAGCAAATAGAACAAAGAAGAGCTTACCGTTTGTTTCTATTATTGTCACGAGCTTCTTGTAGTAGGTCAACAAGAGAGAATCTTGCTGCTTACTTGCTATATCTCTGTGTTTTTGCACGGCTCGCTCGTTCTTTGAACCTTACTTCCCTGAGATTCCAACAGCACAAATGAGTTTTTTATTAAATATGAAAGATCGAATATTTTTAAAATAAATTTTAAGAATCATGAATTGCACATTGACTTACACGACATTTAGAGAAATGAAAAAGAAATATGGCAAAAACTAATAACCACGATCCAATAGACAATCACTACTTTTATTTTTATTTTTTTCTTGAATGATGACAATCACTAGTTTAAAGTAAGAGATGAGTTAAAAAATAGAGAGTAAGATTGTTATAGGCAGGTTGACTCGATATGATATGAGGCTTTAGACATAAGTTTTATAATGAGACCCTAATATAGTAAAGATGAAATTTATTTAATTACATGCTTTCATTTCAGCAATATCATTATCTACTATTTTTGTTTCATCTTTAGATTTGTCTATCCCTACCATTTTTTCTATTATTTCATTATTTTTATTACTTTTAAATCCATAACAAATTTATCAAATACCTTTTTGAGATTCAATGAGTTTTCCATTATTATTTTCTTTTAACTTCATATTCAAATTCATATTTCATTTTCTGAGCAATAATCAATTCTAAACAAATATCTTTGTTATAAAAAAAATATCTAAACAAATTTCATATATAAAGGTATTGAACAATAAAAACTAATAAATAAATTTTTAAAAAATGGTGAAAATTTTTGAAAGGCCAACTGATTTCGTTTTTAGTAAATACCTAATTTCGATTTCAACTTTTTAAAATTTTGATTCTAAAAGTCATCCATTAGATCGATAAGGATGAAATTGAAATAGAAAATTCACTTAGAAGTAAGAAGTTTTGAGCTGTCTATTTTAGCCAAGATTCTATTCAGAGAAAGTAGAAAAAGAGGATAAAAAATAATTTATTTTTTAATTTAAGATAGTTTAAGAGTATTTTTAAACAAATTCATATTTTCTAATAGGCATAATGAAAAAAATCTGAAACTTTGAAGCGACTAGATTGATTTGAACAAATAAAAAACTTTGATTTTTACTCATGGATAATCACACCGGAAGGAATTGTGATACCTAAAATCAAAGATGAAAATTTTGAGATTTGAGAGAGTATGAGAAAAGGAAGGAAAGAGTTAAACATGATATATTTATAGATTTTTTTAGATAAATTTATTCAAACATATACCTATAGAATTTTAGGGGTAAAATGAGGATATATATATATATATATATTTTAATATTTCCAATTTAAAAACGTATTTCAGATTAAAATTTTGTAGGTTGTTTGTTTAAAAATTCCCATTTCACATTTAAATTTATTCAAACATAGACCCATAGAATTTTATGATAGAATGAAGACAATTTTTTAAATATTAATAAATTAAAACTTTATTTTTAAAATATTATAACTTTCAAACTTATTTAAAAATGACAAACGTCATAAACTACATCTAAACTATGATGATTATTAGCATTTTGCGCCCTCAAATTTTTAATGGTAAAAATTAAACCCTTCAACTTTTACAATTGAAAAAATTACCCCCAAAAATTTCAAAAAATAAACCATTGAACTTTCATTAATGAAAAAATTAAATCAAATTTTACCCCTCTCTTCCTACTTTTTCTCTCTAAAAAACTTGCTGGTCCGTTACCATCCATTCTTTCATTTTGACAAATACTTAATTTCGATTTCGACTTTTCAAAATTTTTATTCTAAAGGTCGTTAATTAGATCCATAAGGATGAAAATTGAAATAGAAAAATGCACTTTGAACTTTGAGCAACCCTCAAGTTTCTGGGGAGAAAGTAGGAAGAGGGGATAAAAATTAATTTAATTAATTTTTTAATTTATGATAGTTTAAGGGTTTATTTTTAAAAATTAAAAATTTATAAAAGTGGAAGGGTTTAAATTTTAGCATTTGAGGTTACAATTGTAACCACCATCATACTTTAAGGGTGGTTTTTATGCAATTTATCCAAAAAATTCTTACAATTAACCTACTTCTGGTGGACTCGAAGTCAACCAATTCAATCAAACAGCGTGATGATTCTAAGGTTATAAAAGTATTCACCAAGGTATAATATTGCAAGCAAATCTAATAGAGATATTGATATTGTAAGCCAGTAAATCTAAATAAATCTTAGATATAAAGGTATTTAACAATAAAAAAAAGGAATAAATAAAAAAAAGTAGAATTTTTTAAAGAAAAAAACCTGAAACTTTGAAGTCATTCGATAAATAAAAACTTTGATTTGTACTCTAGAATTTTGATTGTGAGACCAAGATCAAAGATGAAAATTTTGAGATTTGAGAGAGAACGAAAAAGGGATGGAGAGACTTAAACTTAAAATAAATCTTAACCTAACCTATATGATATATTTATAGGGTTTTTTTTAGATAAATTTATTCAAACATGTAAACCTAGAATTTTAGGGGTAAAATGAGGATTTTGTTTTAAATATTTCTAATTTTAAAACTTATTTGACATTAAAATTTTGTAGATTAAGTTCTATTATTTAAAAATTCTCACTTCACATTAAAATTTATTCAAACATATACCCATAGAATTTTACGGGTAGAATGAGGATATATTTTTTTTTAATATTACTCATTTTTAAACCTTATTTTTAAAATATTATAACTTTTAAATTTATTTTTTAATATTACCAATTACCGTCTCTTACTATCCATTATACCATCCCCATTCATCAATTAGATCATTTTGGTAAATACCGCCTCTTACCCCTGTCATTTCTTTTATTATTTTTTTTTAAATCCAATAAGAAATTTATTGAAGGCATTTTTAAATTAATCAGTTTTCTATTATTGTTCTCTTTTAAATTCATGCTCAAATCCATATTTTCTTACCACATATTGGTTTTCTAAGCAAGTAAATCTAAACAAAATATTAGACATAAAGGTATTGAACAATAAAAAATAATAAAGAAACTAAAAAAAAATTAAACGAAATAAATCTGAAACTTTGAAACCACTAGATTGATTTGAACAAATAAAAAGTTTTGATTTCTACTCTAGAATTGATAATCACACCCAAAAGGAATTGTGAGACCAAAATCAAAAATGAAAATTTTGAGAGAGAATGAGAAAGGGATGGAGAGACTAGCTTAAAATAAATCTAACATAATATATATGATATATTAATAGAGTTTTTGTAAGATAAATTTTATTAATTATAGATTTTTTTTTTGTTTTGAAGCGAAGTATCTGCAAAGTATTTCGATATTATAATAAAATTTTTAAAAAAAGTATATTACTTTATATATTAAACTTTTTTTATAATTAAAACTAAAATAAACAGGTATGAAAATTATAGTATATATATATTATATATTATACGAAAAATATGAGGCTCAAACCTTAGCCGGCCTTGAATTTATGAATAAGATATAGAAGGGAAATTCGATTAACTTATAATCTAATTTATGCATGTTATAAATTTTAACGTTTTATGCTCTTTATACTTTCATTTATTTTGCTTTAATTTTTATAGTTCTTTTCAGTACTGTTGAGAACACATTAATTTACTAAATTAAACACATTCTATAAGTAATTATTGTAAAAAGTGGCAATTTTATTTTAAAAACCACTTTTTTCGAAACCATTTCAAACGCTACATATAATCTTTACTTTAAAAATACTTTCCACTAAAAATTTGTTAATCATTTTCTTCGTCTTCTCGAAGTAAACACATTTCTCTGGTCAAAACAGAAATAAAGAAAGTCTCATAATTAAAGAATTGACTAAATTCAAACCACACCCACTCTTTCACCGAAACTTCTTCTTCTTCCTGTTACCATTCAGAAAATTCATCATTCACAGCTTCCAAAATTTTCAGTTTCTTCTTTTTCCCCATAACCAGAAAATCCCTGATATATGAACAAAAAGTAATCAAACTAAGTTTCGGACAGATTCAAGGAGGCCATTGAGAGCTAATCGAAATGAAAGATGATGAACAAAAGATTTTCAAGCATAAGAAACTACACTGTAGTCGTCTTCTTCTACAGGGGCTGGTAAATTGAGATCTATGAGACTGATTTCGAGTCTGAGAGAAACAGAGACATTTACAGTGCCATTTGTGGAGGTCGCCAGATGGGATCTCTTATGGCCGCCGAGGGCTTGTCCGGACCCGAAAAGCTTCAAACAAAATGGGCATTTGAAGATTCTTCCACTTTCGAGCTCTGTTTCTGGTCGGCAGATTTTTTCATGGCTGAACAGAGCTTTGTATGATCGGAACTGCTTCCTGCACTTCTCGCATTTCTTCTTCCTCCGAATCAGCTTCATCACTTTGAGATTTCTCCCCAATTCCTCCATCGATTTTGATTTTGATTTTGATTTGGGTTCTGATTCCGATTCAGGGATGCCGTTTGGTTTTCGATCTTGAACTTGATCTTCGTTTCCGACCCATGAGTCACGTGAGAGCATCATTAGGCACATGGCGACATCTTCTTCGGGCGAGGTGTCGGAGACGGAGTTCGCCGGGGAGTCGACGGCGGCCGGAGTGGGGCTCCGTTTGGATCGTTTCCGGGTCGGGTTTTTGGACTCGGTCTCGCTCTCTCTGTCTTGGACGAGAATTTCGGAGTGGGAAAAGGCGAAAACGGGATCCGCGAACCTGAGACTTCTCTTGGGGTTTTCTCTCAATTCGTAAAGCGCCGGTTTTTCGTCGGCAGAGGAAGAGTAGGAAGAAGACGACGGCTTCGG